ACGACGACGACAACCACCACCACCACCACCACCACCACCACCACCACCACCACCACCACCACCACCACCACCACCACCACCACCAGAGCTGGGTTCTTTTCAGGGGAAAGATCCTGCACCAACCCTTCTCACTGATCTGATCGAAAACCATGCACATGTCCAACAAGCCCCTAAACTTAGAAACATAATATATAGACAACCTTAATATATACCCATGCATGCATAACTCTCATGAAAAATCATTCTCCTCAAACGAGCGATCCTGGTAAAACACACAGGCTTATTCTCACTGATCTCCCAAAAGAGATTACTCCCCATTACTGGGACACAACTCATGGGGAGCTCGGATAATGCAAAATCCAGCCAAGTCAGCAAGCTGTCTGTGCCATCCGGGTTTTGTCCATGCACCGGAAAGCACGCGCTGATAAAACACCAGCAAAACGAGTCCGATGGTGGGTGCCAGATGTGGCGCCGATATTTTGCATTAAAAGTGTTATCCTTGATTTATGCCATTGGCAACTCCGGTTGAAGAATTTGTGTGCTGGCCCCGCCCGGCGGCCCACCGCACCAATGAGTAGTGTCCAACCTTCGTGGTTGTGGCGCTGAAGGCAAGCTCCTTTTGCTTTGTGCCTTGAAGCAGGACCACATCCACGCCTGAAAGTTCTTTCGAAATTTCAGTTAGTGTGGCCCTGCTTGTGGTGGATTGAGAGTTGTAAGTCACGAGGATGACAGAAGTTGTGTTCTTGATGTAAGACTTCCAAATGCAGGAAATCAAAAGTGACAGTCCAGCCAGGATTCCAATGCGGTATTCTCATGACCACGCCCCTCGGGACGGATCTGCCAGAATCCTGTCTCAGCGTGTCACTGTTGACATTTTCTTTGCGCCGACACGCCTAATTTTCGTTGCGTGTGCCAATTTGTGTGAAGTTGTCATGTAAGACGTTGACGTGTCAATTTTTGTAAATTGCAATGATGGATGACAGTCTCAAACGGTTTACGGAAATCGTTCTTGTGAACGGATGGCACCAATTTCACAGAACGCTTTGCCGTGCTGCGGTTTTTGGAGTTATTACTTGTTGCTTTACAATAATAACGTCATGCTTGCCGCTTTCACAGAAGTTTTCCACAAAACATCAACAGAGGATTCGGCATGAACAAATGCTTCCAAGGCATGAAGACATGTGAGGGTGTGCATAATTTTTCCGGGTATGCTGATTTGCAACAGATCTTTTTTTGAAGCCGTGGTTCGGTTGTTCCTTGTTGGTATCGGGGGTACGGACACAGCATGGCTTCTGTATCATTTCGAAACTTTGTACACAATTATTTGCTTCGCGTGGCGACGAAAGTGTTCTTTGTTTAAGTTGACCATGCTTGCGTTCATTGCTGTGTCCAAGGCCATGTAAGCATCAGTGTGGTTCAAGACACAAACTTTGCCACGATCAATCTGCCGCTGATTGGCGTTGAAGATGAATTGTGCGGCATTGGATTGGTGCGATATTTCTTACGTGTGAGCTTAAGTTTTTGTGCTTGCAAAATAGCCTTACCGTTGAACATGAACAACATTGTGTACTTGCTGGTTGATTTCGGGCGCATGAGTGACGCCTCGTGACGCATCAGCGGACCATGCCTGGATATCCGGAGGCTCGTCTGCCTATTGTGATTCTTATGGATTGACCGCAAACGCCTTGTTTTGTCCCAAGGCTGATGAGAAGAAACAGTTCGAATCTCCTCGCAAGATGTCATCAATCTTTGGACCAGCTCATGATCAATTTAGCTTGGGCAAGCGGTTGGGCAAGGGAGGCAAGATGGCTTCTTGTTGAGCATTGCAAGCCCGTGCACCATTTGACCTTGACAGAGGCCAAGCAATTGTTTACGAATGTACGCGAATGAAAACACAGAAAAAATACGCAGTGATGGCCTTGGCAGGCACGGATTTTTTGTCCGCAGTTTTCCTGCAAGTTTTCCAAGGTCAAGGTGATCGAGATGAAGGCTGTGGTATTCCAAAAGAACGATGGTGAGCAAAATCTGCGACGGGAAATTCGCAACATGGAGGATTGGACTGAGTTCAATTCTGAATCTAAATTTAACACCTTTTGCTGGACATGACATTTTCAGGAGCTCTTCCACCCACGCATCGTCAATTTGCTGACTCACTTGTTTGAGGTCCTTCTGGCTTCCTTGTGTTAGCTATGTTCTACCCAAGCATTCCCCTGTGAGAGAACAGCAGGAAGACAGATGCTGGCTGGTCATGGATTTAGCCCGAGGAGGTGATCTTCACAATAAAGTCTTCGATGAGTTGAATTTGTCCATCAACCGAGGCCGCAATTCTAATTACCATGACCGTTTGCAAGCTCATGTTCATACAGACTGTTCTCATCCTTGCGTGCCAGTGATGATGTGCTGGTGGCGTGAGACTGTTGCAAGTCACATTGTGTTTCCTTCAAGAAAAGCTTGACTTTCAACAAGGGCCCGCGTGCACGCATGATACTCTGGTGTTCGTGCATCTGAGTTGTCGAGCAGTGGTTCCATTTGCGTGATTGTCATCTCAAGCTACGCGGACTCAGTCCTTGTGTGTTGTCTGAAGCCTGCTGTTTCAAGGCTGTCAGCGACACACGCTGTCCCGTGCCGTGTCACGTTGGGCTACTGCTTTGCGCGGCATACCTGATATGAGCAAACGCATGTGCAACGCCATGCAGATGATTGTTTGTCAAAGCTACCAGATGCCGATTAATTTTTTCTATCGGCTCCTGAATTCACAGGCCTCGTGATTCGACTGGGGCGGTTGATGTGGCTGCGGCACATGGCATCAGTCGACGGGC